AGTACTGCGCCTGGCACTTAGTAGGTGCAGCGCCGCTATTCATGCTGTTTTCCCAGGGGGCAATGAGGAATACAACAGGAGTTAATTTTCTAAGCAAATGAAAAATTTCCCTCTAAATACCAAGCCACGTTTATTTTTCAATATTATCTCATTAAACACAGTGAAGGCTTTTCTGCCCTTTCAACTGAATACAGGCAGTAGTATCAAATATTTTCTTGATACTTCTGGGTCATCGGCATAAACTACAGTTATTTCACTTCTCAAAAATAATACCTCTCCCCCAGCTGGTGCTATTGAGATCTCAGGAAGGCGTGTGCTCCTCACTAAAGGGTCCATGACTGTGTTGATGTATTTCCTTTTGTTGTCAGACTGCAGGTGGCATGTTGGGATGCCGTTAGCAGCATCACTTCCTCCCAATTCATCCTTCTGCTCTCTTCTTCCTCAACTGAGAAAATAACAGAATTTTAATAAATATATCTGCAAAATTAGAGTGGCCTTGAAAGATACTTCTTGCAGAAGTGCACGATGTTTAGTGTGTGGATATTGTGATATATTCCCTTTCCCTCACCCCATTTCTCTTTAGTCATCTTCATGACTGTGACATCAGCTATGTATGTCTCCACCATCAAGACCTAATATGTTATTTCTATAATATTAGAGCTAAATGCTAAATCTTCCTTACACTTTTTAGTGTTTTTTTTTTTTTTTAACTTCAGAGATCATTAAAGCTACACAGATTCCCACAATGGAATTATTCCTATTCGTCACAGTAAGTTTTTACTTTATTTTCTAACCTTTATAACTGGAAATATGTTAAGATTACAAATAAATTTTTAATGTGACCTGTGCCTTTTGTTAATGAATAACTATCAAATGTATATTCTGATTCATGAATGGTTACTATAAATTATTTTTTAAAAATACTGTTTGTTGTATAACTTGTAGAAATAACTTAGAATTCACATAGCAAGTGAGAATATTGATATTATGTGTACCCCATCAATATGTTCAAATATTATGGTTCAATAAAAAAAGCCCTTCCAACCTAGAAGATATCCCCATATTTTATCATCTAGAGTACCATATGCTTTTTTTATAACATTCATTCAACTTAATATTTTGATGGTTATTTATTTCTCAGAGACTATAAACTCATAAACCCAGAAACCGTTGTTTATTCAATTTCATATTGTCCATGCAAAATGGGCCAAAATAAGGATTCAGTAAATATGTGTTAGTTGTTTTGCAATGAAAACATTAAAGAAGTTGATTCCTATAAACAGCGCTGCATTAAGCATCTTCCACATTTATTTTCACCCATATTTTGAGAAAGTTTTTATATAAAACTTAGAAATAGCCCTTGATTATATGTACATTTTTTTCTCTCTCTTTTTTTTTTTTTAACAGATCAGGCATATTGCAAAATAAAATAATTGTACTGATTTATATACTTCCATTAAAAAAAGGAACATATAACATGACGATTTTATTTGATATTTTAAAAGGAATAATAGTCCAATGATTTTGGTTTTTCTATGGGAAAAATATCTAGTAATGACAAAAATACTTTGGACAGAAAGTGCAACTTTCCTCTTTCTCCTTATTCCTTCTTTCTTTGTAACCTCTGAATCCTCTTCATTGATTTGGCATCTTCCTGGGGCATTTTCTCCTTTGTATTGTTGGGGTAGCCTAACCTTGATTTGGTAAATTAAAACCTTGAAATTCTATGTTATTTCTAGTTCACAGATTCTGAACTTCCTTTTCTTTGTAACTGAGATTTCCTCTCCATTCCTTAGAGGCATTCCAGATTAGGTTATAATTTCTGCTTTTACTTTTACTTGGTCCAGGAGTGCCTCGGGCAAAGGATACTCCTACATTCTCCAGCATAACACTGGCTTCAGGAAAAGGGTAGCGGCTCTGAATTTCATACTGATATTGGCATCCAGGCATGTTCAAGGTCAAGAATCTGTACGGGGTCACTGAACACAGACCATTGCTCATAGGACTGTGGCATGAGAGTCAGAATGATGCCCCCGCTTTGTTTTAATACGTTGTGGGGAGGTGGGAACTGACAACATGTAGATTTCGTGCAAGAGCAGGGTAGGTGTGAGTGAATAAAATCCTTTTATTTTAAGCTTATTCCCTCTTTTTCGTCTTACTCCTTTAAAAAAGTCGGTTTGCCTGAAGCCTTCTTTGTTGAGGAGTAAAGTGAATAGTTTCCTTCTAGGCCTTTCTCTCGGGGAAACTACTTGGTTAATAATGGATTCACTTTCCATTCAATGAACCAGGATTTTAGCCAAGAAGAATCCATGCAGTCTTCCCAGGTTTATTGATCTATTCACCGTGTCCTCTTTTGGGAATGGATAATTTTAGTGGCATTACCAATAAAGCATACTTGTTTTTTTATCTTGTCTTTCTAATGAGCGAACGCTAGAGCTGAAGCCTCTCTGTAGGCTTGTTTCTTTTCGCCTTGTGCCCTGCACTCTTTGTCATAACCCAGTTTTCACATCTGTCCTCATAATCCAGGTTGCTGTAGAGCAAAGAACTTCATTAATGTTTTCCTGCTAGACTTGAAAACAAATTAGAACAGTGCCTAGAAAGAGTTAAAGAGGACCCTCCCCACCCCAAACCCTGAAACCAAACAGACATCACAGAGCATGGATGGCAGGTAAAGTGGTTGCTATAAACACTTTCTCTTGAAAGCTGTGTCTTTTCAATAAACACACCGTTAGGCCCTAGCAAAATATTTCCAGTCGCCTTCATGGGTGGTGCAGTGCTGGAAGCTGTTAGCTCATGCTCAGTTAAATTTCCAACGTCAAAGCTCATTAATAGTGATTTTAGCCAAAGACAGCTTGTAAGGAGCTGTGCAAACTTAACTTCCTCAAATAAAATGAGAAGAAAGATGACCATTTAACATTGCTTTTCCTCCCCCTGCTTTCTTCACCTCCGCTTCGAGTTTGTTTTTGGTTTTATTGACAGTAGGTTTCAAGTTTATACTCCACATTTCCCTTAATTTGCCTTGTCCTTTTATCCGCACCCCCTCCCCACCCCCCCTTGGGAAATAGGCCTATTACAAAGGTGTTGCGATGTTTCTTTGAGTTTTAGGAGGAGTGTTTTGTCTGTTTGAAGCAGGCCTGGAGGAGTCTGTGAAAGTGTTAAGGCAGAAGGTTCGGCTTTTGAGGGAGAGAAACACACTGTGATATGATTATGTGCTCAGATGCTGTTTCCAGCCCCATCTGAATACAAATGCAAAAGGAGATTCCGTTGACACAATAATGATGTTTCAAATGGAAATATCAATACAAGCAAGTAGCCTCGTTATTTGCAGTCTGGGCAGTTTTCACCACTGTTGGTTACCTGGAAAATTAAATTAAAAAAAAAAAAAGCATTTGTTTTTCGCCTGGTCTGAATTTACCCGTGCAGTCGTGACTGCGGGTTGGCCTGCCGTGTTAAATTCTCTGGCAAACTGATTAATGATTGAGGTACCAGTTACAAATTGGTCATGAACTTGGTCTTCCTCTTGATTTTGGGGTTTTGCTAGCAGTATGCTTTCCGGTGCTCCCTTCCTGAATCTTGCAAAGGCTTCCTGGGCGCTGGGTATGCAATACTTGGGACTTCAGCCTGTGATGATATAGGAGGCTCAAGGAGCCAGGGCAGATGCCCTGGATGTGGTTTGGGTGTGGGTGTTTTGGAGCTTCTCTGCAAGAGCTCTGTAGCCACAATGTCTTTGAGAAATTTGAGCTTGGGTTGCAGTGAGGTTTTTGTGGACTCAAATCAGAGCAGAGGTAGAGTGCAGTGGGGAGAGTATGTAGGCTGGGTTTGTATCAGGGGATCCTGGTGTATCAGAGGTTTCTTCTGAAGGTTTATGGTGATTCCTTCTTGGGGGCAGGAATAGGTTCCCAACAGAGGTTATAAACCCTTTATCTTTTTTTCTGTTTTTGACCAAAATAGGGGAATTTTGCTTCCCCTCCCCAATAGTTTGTTTAGACTTTTCAAGAAGCTGATTGATTTGGACAATTGTTGCTATGCTACTAAAGGCTGTTAATTGTGAGAAGCCCACCATTTTGATCTTAAAAGAAATTTAGTTACTTTCTTTAAATGGACTGTATTCATTTGTTGTTCGTAGATTTCAATGCTATTTGGCTTGCAGACAAAGGTTTTAATAATTATGTTGAATAGACTGTACTGTTCAGAGTATCAAAAGTTTGCATGATTTCTTTTAAAAGCCAAGTAATTAAATTTCTGCAAGTAGGACTATAGTCTGAGAAGTACGACTTAAAATTACTACTTTTTTGCTTTCGTCTTTTCTACCTTCTTTTATTAACATCCAGATTTTGGCCCTTATAGGAAAAGAAACAAGCTTGTTTAATTGTAATGACTGGCTTATGTGTTGGTTTCGTCTCAACAGTGAGCTCCCTGAGAGCAGGCAGTTATATTATTTATCATTTTATCCTCAGGGTCTAGCATAGTACCTGGCTCAATAAATGTTTATTGGTTGAATATTTAACTAACAACATTGTAGGTAGAATACACTCACAATTGTAGGTAGAATATTTAACTTAAGAGAAAAATCAATTTTATGAACTCTAGCACAATTAATTATTTGCATACAAATGGGACCACAAATTACAAATAAGTGCTACCAATTTATTGGAGCAGGTGTACAGGCGTTCTGCTGGCAGACATAGTGCCATCAGTTTGAGTTATACCTTGATGAATATTTTCCATAATCTTCTAAGTAATCTTAAAATAGAACAAAGAAATTGTACAATTTCAGGCAAAAGAAAGCTTTTTGGTGCCACTGAAACCTACTGTTGGTTGGCTGCCTGTGGCACATAGTTTATAAGATGATCTAATTCATTGATTTGGTCTAATCAATTTGGTAAGTGCCTATATGTGCCAGGTCTGGTGCTAGTGATTTGTAATACACAGGTGATGGCCAGGTAGTCCCTGTCCCTGGAGAAGTCACAATGTAGCAAGGCAAAATTTTTTTTTTTTTTTTTGGAGAAAATTGTAAAATTTTATTGAGATAATTTTAAGTCACACATCCAATATAAGAACAGCTTGCATTGTTTCACCTTGTCTTTGTTTAAACCTGTGGTTGCCCTTCACCTGCTTTGGGCACTTGAACGGGTTCTAGATTTGACAGAATCTCCCCCTTGACATCAGGGCCATCTCCGCGTTTACCTCCTGTCTTTGCCTCAGAGAATTCCAGGAGATCAGCTTCTATGTCAGGCTCTTCATCTTGAACCTCAGGTGCTGCTCCATCTTCCCTCTCCTGACCAGGTGCAGTATCCTGAGTTTCAGTCGGTGGCTCCTCTTGCTGAGGTTGTTCCTCATTGGGCTGCTGGGAAACCATAGGCTCAACTGGCTGAGAAGAATCTTGTTCTTCATCTCCTCTCTCTCCAGATTGAGATGTTGATCTTACTTGCTCACTCATATTTCTCACGAGCGACCGAGTCTCAGCCAAAGAGAACCAAGATGCCACCTCTCCTTCCACAGCTCTGTGTGCAGCAGAAGGCAAAATATTGATGTAAACACAGAGCACAAAGGCAGCGAGAGCAGAGTGCAGGGCAGGCTCTGAGGAAGCTTCTCCAGGCCTGAGAAAGTCCTCCCAGGGAGATTCGAAATGGAGCCAGGCATTGGACGATGACCGTATGGCTTGGGAGAGAAGGAGCATGTGCATAAGCTCAGTCATGGCATGTGAGGGGACAGGGTGGCTTTTGGCATGACTTGAGGATGGTGCAGGATCCGGTGGAGGCGTAGGAGGGGCCTGAGATGAGCCTGGGAGAGCAGTTATGGAGAGTCATTTGGGTGGAGCGTTATATGGAGGATCTGTGGGTGGAGGGCTATGTGCTTATTTGAGTGTGGACTTTATTCTCTAGGCAGTGGGGATCAGTTCTTTTCTAAGTTCTGCACCCTGTGTATTCTAAATGTGTGTGTGTGTGGCCCAGCAAAGCGTGTGACTCTGTGTGTATGAGGGGAGGGATAAGGAGAGGGAGAGGGAGAGAAAATGAATGAATGAGGTTAATTTCTCTAGGAGGGGAATATTAGCAGGAAGGAGGAAAATGGAAGGATGTGAGGAAAGTGGAAGCAGAGAGAGCAGAATAGCACTTGCATTCAGTGGTTATCCATTCAGCATTCATTCATTCATTTCATAAGTATTTGTTAAAAACCTACTATGTGCCAAGTACTGTGCTAAACTCTAGGTGCATAAACAGATATCCTCTCTGCCCTTGTGGAGCCTATAGTCAAGAAGATCCAGGTGAGAGCTGAGCATGTCTTAAACTGTGGCAATAGCCCCATACATGGAGAAGGAGAGGGTGAACTAAGAGGCATCTATGAGTTAATGGGCATAATTTGATGACCTACTAGATGTCAGGGGTGAAGGACAGGAGGAGATGTGGGTGACGATGTTTTTGGAGTTGGGGAACTCTGTAAACTGGGCGGCTAGTGGCTCCATTCAGACATATGTCAGGTACTTATGGCTGAGTGAGTTTATGGAGAGGGGAAAATAATGAATGCAGTTTTACATGTGCTATGGTTGACTGCCCCACATGACACACAAATGGAGATGTCCAGCCACTTAGTGTTTTGAAGAGTTCAGACGCTTCCTCCTTTCAGTTCAAACCCTTCGGTTCAGGGTTCAAGATGCACATTTGAGAGTGGTTAGGAGGTAGGTGTCAATAGAGGCCACAGGAGGAGGAGACAGTGTCCAGGAAGAATGAGCAGATGAGAAGGAAGAGGACGGATGCTTGGGGACTGCCGGAGTGCGTGGGGTGAGCGGAGAGGGGGCTGGTCCCTGCTGTGTTCTAGGTTGCCTCCTCTCCTCTGCAGCACTGGATGTGGTGACGGCCCAACCTCTTTTCTGCATTTCCTGTCTCAGTCATTTGATTAGCTCATTACTCTCAGTATGTAAACTGTTCAATCTTAAATAAGGAACCTCAAACTTCCCCTAAGCCTGGTTTGGCCCATGGCCCCGTTTATCACGTGGTTGAATCTCTCCTTCCCTCATAGCTGCGTTGGTTGACAGACAGGGTAGTGGCATTGGCTGTTTCTGCTTTCTCCCTCTAGCCCACCCGCCCCCAAGCTGCTTGGCTCTGACAGCCCCTCAACACTGAAATGCCCCCCCCGCCAAGGTCTCCGGTAGCCTCCTGCTAAACAAGGACTACTTTGAGGTCCTGATCTTATGACCTGTTTCAAATGCGTTAGTCTTGATGAATTCTAATAATCTCCCAATTCCAATCCAGTCCAATGTCATTTTGAAACCTCAGCATTTATCAAAATTTTTAAAGACTCCTGTGCCCCCCGGATAGCTCGTAAGGCTGTGTGTGGGGTGGGGTGGGGAAGGGCTCTTTCCCTCCTCCCCATCTCCTTCCTCACTTCCTCCAGGAGCTGGCCCAGGGAGAGAGGGGGTTAGGGCCAAAGGAGACATATGTGTGTCAGGTGCACCTGCTGTCTGAGGTGAGTGCTGTTTGCCTAGGAGACATGAGGTGTTAGCTCTCTCTCATGGGCTTTTTTTGTGGGTTCATCAGATACTCTCCTGCCGGAGTCCTTGGTCTGCAACACTCTCTGACGGGCTGGCCCATTGTGTTTTGGAGTGGGTAGCTTTGTTTCTCCCCCAACAACCCAGTCTACCTCTTGGGAAAGATCTCTTTAAATCACACCAGATCTATTCCCTTTGGTGGGATCCATGTTTGCCTTTGTCCCTCTAGTAGTGACATGCATCTTGGTCCTAAACCAATGCCCTCTCTTCCCTCTGCTGCTGGGCAAGGACAAAGCTGTCCCTTGCTTTTAGACTTTGTAGGTGGGGGCCAAATACTGGTGCCTTTTCCATTAAGCCCTCCCATTGAAGAAGCAGGAGAAGCTCTCCTCTCATTTGGCTTAGGTGCACTGAGAGTGGAGACAGAAAATGCATGGCCTACCAAAGTTTGAGAAGTGGTGTGAGATAAAGTATTATAGCAGTGTGTGCAAAGCTGGGTGGAGGAGTAAGAGACTGGGGTTAGCTCTGCTTTAGGGTGAGGAGCACTAGTAAAATCTCAGAGAAAGAGGGATGACTTGGCTTTTGAAGAATGAATTTGCCTGGTAGAATAAGATTGAAAGGCTCTTCTAGGTGCAGGTCATAGAGGTGAGCTCCGTGAATGAAGGCGTGGGGATATGAAACAGCAGAGTGTGTCTGAAGACTGCAGGTGATTTCTGAATGTTCTCACAGGGGAGTGGCGTGGAGGGGTGAACGGGGCTTTTGGACACATGCACACTCACAGAAGCGAACTGGAGGAACCCACATTTCATGGAGCAGCAAGGCAAGGGTTGCCTTCTTTTCTGTTTTTTCGTTCCTTCATCTGGTTTCAAGACCTAGAGAAAGTAACTTAACTTCTGTGACTCCAGTGTCCTCATCTGAAAAATGAGGAGATTAGATGTTCTCCAATTTCCCAATTCTGAACTTGGCTCTAAGAAAGCACTGAAAGTTTATAACCTAATTGTTTGGTCTAGAGAACTAGGGAACCCAAGAATATTGGTGATTTTATTAAATACAAAGAAACATCTTGTCTTTGAGTTTCAAAAGTTGTGGTGAAACATACACAGCATAAAATTGACCATTTTAAATTGTACAGTTTAAATTGTTCAAATTAAGTGCATTTACGGTGTATGTAACCATCACAACCATCCATCTCCAGAATGTTTTCATCTTCCCAAACTGAAACTCCGTACCATTAAACACTAACTCTCTCTTCCCTCTCCCCATAGCCCCTGTTCGTGAAGAGTTTCTATCTCCATGAATTTAATCACTTTAAGTACTTCATATATGTGGAATTATGCAGTATTTGTTCTTTCGTGTCTGTCTTATTTCTCTTAGCATAATATTGTCCTCAAGATTCATCTCTGTTGTAGCATGTATCAGCATTTTCTTCTTTTTTTAATGCTGCATAATATTCAATTGTATGTATATACATGTGTATACCACGTTTTGTTTGTCCATTCATCTGTCAATGGACACCATTGGGTTGCGTTCGTCTTTTGGCTACTGTGAATCATGCTGCCATGAACATGGGTGTATAGATAACCTCTTTGAGATCTTGTTTTCTATTCTTTTGAGTATATATCTGAAATGGCTGGATTACAGGATAAACTTAGTCATTTTTTATGGAGCTGCCATACTGTTTTCCATTGTGGCTGCACCATTTTACATTCCCACCAACAACGCCTGAGAGTTTCAATTTCTTTACATTCTTTCCAACACTTGTTATTTTCTGAGTGTGTGTGTGTGTGTGTGTTTAAATAATAGTTGTCCTAATGGTGCAAAGTAGTATCTCATGGTTTTGAATTGCACTTTCCTAATGAATGACGATGTTTATGTGCTTATTGACCATATGTATATCTTCTTTGAGAAATATCTACTCAAGTTTCTTGCCCATTGTTTTTAAATTGGGGTTTTTGTTGTTGAGTTGTAGGAGTTCTTTATATATTCTGGATATTAATCTCTTATCAGATATATGATATGCAAATATTTTCTCCAATTCCATAGGTTACCTTTCCACTCTATTGATAGTTTTCTTTGAAACACAAAAGATTTTAATTTTGGTAAAGACCAATTTATCTATTTTTTTCTTTTCTTGCTGTTTTTGGTGTCATGTCCAAGAAATCATTGCCAAATACAATGTTGTGAAGGTTTTCTCTGTGTTAAAACAAAGAAGCATCTTTTATATAAATTTTAAGTTAGCCTAAGTTCCATCTTGCTTAGTCTGCAGAATGTAGTTAAGCTTCATTTATCTTCTACTCTGACCTCCTATCCTCTAAGCATTCTTTGGGTGCCTTCTTATCATCTTGGTTGCTTAGGGAATCAGGCAAGGTTTCAATTTTCTATGCCCATTACATTGTCTTTAAATGCTCTCAAATTGTTCAAAAGGTTTAAAATAATGTTTTAAGCTAAGCATGGTTTAGGTTTGCTTTGGTCTGCCCATATGAGAAGTTTAAAGACTTGCAGATTAGTTGAGTATAATGAGAAGGAGGAGGGGTAAGAAGGAAAGGTTAATTCTTTCTGGATCCTGTGATTGATAACGAAAAGAGGTGTTTTATTTTTTTTCTCTTTCAATTTTCTAGAACAAAACCAAAAAGCTTCTTTGGGTACATCCCGGGCAAGGGAAACTTCATCTGGAGAGGGGATGTCAGAAAGTTGTCAATTAGTGAGAGGTGGAGAATGACAGAAACCTGTGCTGCATGCTTGTCAGCTTTTTCGTGGTGTCTGCAATGTGGCTCAGACCTACTGAAATGCATAGTGGTTGCTCCATCAAGAAATATTTAAAAGATCAAAAATCACTTTGATTTGACTTTTGTCCTTACTCTACCCCTACTCAATTCATTTGGTAATCTCCTAGCAGTCACTTTGTTTCACATTTTTAAAATGAGATATTGGAGCATATATCTACACTTTCATTAACCCTGAGGTGTATGTAATACAGGGGTTTTGGGGAGCTATATTTCTTCCCCTTGGGAAAATGGGGAAATAAGAAGCTTCTATTTTCTTAAAGCAAAACAGGGCCACATGAATAATTAATTCTTATCAAGTCAAACATTTATTTTTTGGCAAGGGGTTAATCCCCCCAAATTAGGAGAATTCTGGGGGAAAGGCATTTTGCACTTGTTCCTGAGAGGTGTTGTGGCTCTGATAGCTCTCCAATATGGTTTATTGAATTAATTCCTCTTTGAATCCCCAGGTAGTTGATTACTGCTGCTTTAAGGCTTGTTTCATGAGGGTCTTTGTGGCTTTTTGAATTTCCAAACCATGAAGGGCTTCTTGGGTGAAAATTATTCCTGTGGATTGTTTAGTATTCACCAACGGTT